CCCCCCCCCCCCCCCCCCCCCCCCCCCCCCCCCCCCCCCCCCAAATCTACTATTGTAAAAACCCTTTCATAATGACACAGTTCCTCTCCTCCCACAATGGTACATCGTCAGATCTACAGGGATGCAAAAATAGCTCAAACATGCCATTTTGTCTGACAGTTTTAAAAGTTTCTCAGGGCTTTCATTTTTTGAAAGCTTTTTTTTTTCTCCTCAGTCCAAAGAAAAATGGCAGGCTGGAGTCTGCAATAACGTAGTTACAAATTCCAGTTACAACGTAAGTTACAAATTCAGTGCAGATAGTTAGAAAGAACTGAAAAAGGTGTACCAATGTAGTTTCAAATACTGTGTGCTTCCTTCACTGCTGTAGGATGTGGTTTTGGTTCTTACATTTTCTAACTGCAAAAATGCTATGTTTTACTCTAGCAGAAACCTTCTCTATGCAATGTATACTTCAGATTGCTCGTGAATCTGGAGCTAGGTACTTGAATGATGATTGCCAGTTTAATATCATTAAGCTTCCTTTACATTAAAAGGAGTTGTGTACAGTTATGTAGGTATGAATATGCAGTTAGCAGACACCTGCTCATGTGTTTTGGTATGACTATCTCTTATTTTGGTTTTAGGCATGGACCCCACAGAAACAGGGATGTCTTCACTACTCTGATTTGAAACTCATAACAGTTAGAGTAGGCAGTAGTGAATTTAGTAGTACAGTAGTACTTTGGATTTACAACAGCATACTGATAGCAAAGCTTGGCCAATCATTTGGCAAAGTGAATTGAAGGGGTTTCTGCTAATTCTAGGTTTTGGGCACTCTTCTACTTTAGCAGTTTTACTAGGATATTTAAGTTAGATTTATGAATCATTTAATTTCCTCCTCAAATCAGTGTTTTAAAACAATTTCCTGATCGGGGGGTGGTGGGGTGCCTGTAGACTTTGTCAGTATTTTAGGAAAATTCAAGGCTTAGTTGCTGTTTGGCATTTGGATTGATCCAGTAAAATTTTTATTAAAATTATCCAAAATTACCAATGGTAGGAAGAAAAAACCCAATATATTGGATTGTAACACATTACTACAGATCTGATTTTGATCCTATTTGCCATGCATAAAGACCAGATTATTAGAAGTTACCCTTTTATTAAAATCAAACCTAGAAAAATAAAATAATAACTAGTGCAAATAAGCTCATATTATGCATTTAAAGTAAGAGAGAAATTTTGGATCTCTTCAGATACTGAAAAACAAAGCTGATCTCTGTCATAATTTCTTGTTAGCAATTTCTTGTTAGCTTTGTGTGTGCTGGTCAGAGCATAGCTCATCTAAATGATGAAAAGTCTGCAATAATAGTAATTCTGAAGGTCTTTTTCTTCATTTTTGTGTCAGGATGTGGGAGATGTTTTGCAGCAACATGTACTTTCTTTCCTGGCAGCCTTATGCTTTTTCATCTTTTTTTCTTGTTTCCCGTCTTGTTCCCTCTCACATACAGAAAAAGTAAATGCATATTCTCTGATCGCTGTACTTATTGCGTATCTTGGAAAAGCATTCAGATTCATTTGAAGTTGCAGCATTGTTTTATTGCGTATCTTGGAAAAGCATTCAGATTCAATTTGAAGCATTGTTTCATTCCAGCTTCCACTGGTGTAGGGAGTGGAGTCACTTGTCTCTAAAGCGGCTCTTGTGCTGCAGCATCTGCTGTCTTAAAATGCAGAAAGCTTGAAATACTCTGAACCATCCTTTGTTGTGTTTGTAGTTACTGTTGTATGTCACCTGCATTGTGAGACAAACCTTACGAATACAAATTCTTCTTAATTATTTGACAGTTATTTTTTGCTAACCTCTTGCCAATTTGTTTGTATTATACGTATGCCTTTCATATACAAATCCCAACATCAAGTCTTTAAGTCTTGGCAACTATAGCAAACGACATGGAAGCTGTGATTCTTCATTCCTGGCCTTTCCGAACACCTGACTTGTCTGAAAGCCACGCAACAGGGAGTTGCTTCTCTTTATATATTGACAGGCTTCCACTTAGCGCAGATATATGTTCTGGAGGAAATGTTAAGTCTAGGGAGTTGTCATGTTTGCATGTTTCATTTGTGGGGCATGAATATCAGCAGAGGAACCATTTTCTGTAGGGATGAAAAGGGGAAAAGCTGTTAGTCGATTGACTTTTTTTTTTTTTTTGGGACAGAGACTGGATAGGAGTCTTTCATGGACTCACAGCTGAGTGTTAAATTGTCTCAGACCTTCGTTATCTTCTGAAATAAACCCCTTCTTTTGGTCATGTCTCTTCTGAAAGACTCCTTCTGAAAGGCTCTTGAAGGAATAAGGCTGCATTATCCACTTTTCAAGTGAGGGTTATCTGGGAGACTATATTGGTGTTGACATCTTGCTTAGAAATTTTAAGAATTAAAATAGTTATCAGCATCACTGCAGTGCAGAACTCTTCCTAATTAGTCTGCTGTTTGATTTTTGAACTATTATTGCCTATTTTCCCAAGCTGTTGCTCATAAAGACTTCTTGTATTTTACTTTCCCTGGTAGAACCTCAAAGAATGTCTCACTTGATAGCACCTGAGAATTGCCTCTGGGTTACCATGTATGCTCGACTTGCTGGATTCTATAAATAAAAAAGTTCCCAACGTGGAACTTGTATTTCTCCCAAAACTCACTGCACTGTTTCACTACTTTCTCCTTTTTTTTAATATATTTTTTTAAACAAACAATTAGCTGTTTTTTCAGTCTACAGGACAATACATCCATTTTAGACCAGCCCAACCTGAATAATATTTCAAAGTAGTCAATGTACAAGTGGCTTCTAGCTTAGTCTGCTTTTTCTTAGTCTATTAAACCTTCTCTCTTGACTTCTGGCATATTTCAATATAACATCACGTGCTTTTTCCCTGCTCCTATGTTTTATTTTAACCTTTTGTCACCTTTGGATGTTGATTTGTGCTTTGATAATTGGGTTTGGAGTATTCATTTAACAAGTGGGAGGGAGGGAATAAATATAGATTTTCTCAAGGAAATCCTTGTTAGACTTTCTGAAATGTTACCTGTTTGTTACTTGTCAGTCTTACTGTAGTCTTACAGTCTTACTGTATTAAACTTTCACTTTTTTGCTCATGAAAGACAATAGTATTACTAGGGAAGTAAAGGGTATTTTTGTGAGAAAATGCAGGATCAAGCCATCCATTTAAAAATGAACATGAAACTCCTGGCAAAAAGTTTGAGTCTGATTCTGGCAGGCCAAATAACACAGTATAACTGCAGAGAAAGCAGTAGACAAGAAAACTTGTGTATATTAGGCAGCTGTTATAAATATGAACTTTTTTATGAAGTCATTCATTAAGTGTCAAATATGTGGAACTAAAGTTCAGGCTTTTGGTAAAATTGGTCTGCAATATGAAAAATTTTTCATCTTTAGGATCACTTGGAATAAAGAAGTACCTGAGGAAGGAATGTTAAAATAAGGATTTACATTAAACCCTGCAGAATCTCACTGAAGTAGAGAATGAGCTGTGTGACATTCATGATGGGAGCCTGCAATAAGAAAGTATATGGGTGCATGCTTGAAGAGTTATTTGTCAATAAGAAAGTATATGGGTGCATGTTTGAAGAGTTATTTGTTACCAGATGTTAGGGATAAAAAATGGATAATAAAATTTTTAAGAGAAAAAAGATTAATTATGAGGGAGTGATTGATAGCTTCACTCCTCTGAAAAATGAGTCACACTTACTAAACTAGAAGGTGAGTCTGCATCTTCTCTGCAGAGCACTCACAAAAATGATAGTGGTAACTTGTATCATATTGCACTCTGCAATAGGTCCATATCACTTAATGTCATTTGAATCGCATAGCCAGAGACAACATCCAAAGTTTCAAGTGATGATAAAGAAATCCCTTTTAAATAAAAATTGAAGAGAAGTGCCTACAGTAAAATTGCATGTTATTTTGTTCGCTTGAAAGTATCCTACTGTGTGAATAGAATCTGTCATTTGATTCAGCCTTATTAGTAAATATGGAAGTTGGAATAAGCTGGGCTTGCCTGATTTGCTTAGGAATGAGGTGGCACCTAAACTTTTGAATACCTACAATATGAAAAAAACACCTAACTGCTGAGTTCCTTTTTTGTTAGTTTCCTGCGTGGTCTTTTCTAATAGTTTATTCCCATTATAGCTCGTTGAGCTGAAGAAGGATGGCACAGATCAGTAAATAAAGAATGCCTGTATCCATCTGCCTAGTGACTATTATGCTTTGTTGTCTTTATATCTACACGTTGCGTTGGCTGTAAAGAGCCGAACAGAAGGACTTCCCAGTCAGGTTCGAAATCCTAACGTTTTGTCATCTTAATGTCTCACAGAGTTCTGAAGCCTCTGAAGTGCTAATCCTGGAGCGCTGCTGGATTGTGGAGTTCAGGAGTAAAACAGGTGTTTCAATAGTTCTCAGTAAGTAAGACACAGCTCAGTATGCTCAGTGTGAATTTTTTTATTTCTGTCAACAAAAATGACAACAAAAAAAACCCCACCCAGACATTGAAACTTTGCTAAAAACTAGTAAAACTAGCTACAGGGGAAAAAAGGTTATGCTGCATTTGTGGGCTTTGGCCAGCTTTTTACGTTTAGTAGAAGCTCCTACTTTTTTTTTTTTTTTTTTTTTTTCTCCTTAATACTCACCAAAATCTCCAGTCTACTTCAAGGAAAATGTTGCATTAGTTATGCGAACTTTTGTCCTCACCTGCAGAAGTGATTCTTAGTGTTTGGTCACGTTTGAGAAGGCAGTGACTTAAAACATATTCATTGTGGGTTTTATCCTTTTCTGGGTAGTATTCTGGGGAATATCTCAAATCCTGCATCTTTAGTAGTGGAATTAAATTTTATGTCTTGTACCTGATGTTGAGGCACTGCATCAAAAAAGACTTCTTTCTGGATTTGGAAGCAGCGCTTTGCCTAACTATAACAGCTGAATGATTACCATTGACTCTCAAATTGAGACTTTTCTAATTATGCCCTTATTGATTCCAACTCCCTGATTGGAATCATCAGCTTTAGGAGGTGATGGTGTTACAGTTTGGGTATAAATACCGTCATGTCAGTTTCCTTCTGGTATGTCTTTTACAATACTTGAACATAATGCTGCTGAACTGAACCAAGAATACAGCTGTAATTGCTGACGGGATTCTTTCAGTTAGCTTTGAAGCCTGCAAACAGGACAGTTTCTGTGGCAGCAAGACTGGCAGATTTTAAGTCCAAAAGCTGGGGAAGTAGACAACAATGAGTGCCGAGTAAGGACTTCAGACTGCCTATGGAGAAAGAGACTGTGAATATGTGCGGAGGAAGAAATATACTTGCATAGTTAGGAACAGAAATTGCTACCCAAGAGACAGACTTTATAAAACAAAGTTTGAAGGTCAGTACTGTGGTTAGAGGTAAGGGTGGCATTCTGACCTGCCTCTAAAAACATGCTAAAGTGGAAAAGAGGAAGCAGCACAGAAAACTCCAGGTATGCAGAGCCAACGAATGATGATGAGTGGCTGGGGTGCGACCGAAGGAATACAACAGAAGATGGAGGAAGAGACAGACAGACAGGTAGAGGAGAAACAGATTTCAAACTTGGCAATTCTCCTGTGCTGGAGAGCAAGGACAAGAGCCTGGCTGCTGATTTGTTGGATGGGAAAAGAAAAAGAAAGCCAGACTATTATGAGGTATTAGAACAAAACTGAATACAAATGAAGATGATATACTGTGTACTGAGGATAAAATAGCAAACGAAGTGAACTAATAATCCGTGTACTGTAGGAGAGAACAAAATTCAGAAGACCAAAGAGGGGAGAAAAGCAAAACTCGGGAACTAAGAAGAGAGATCTTTGTCAATGGGGGCTTCGATCATGAAAAACTAGCTGCATTGTCACAAGAATATATCTATTGGCCATTGGGAGCCAAAAAAAGCTCTAAAATGTGTATCTGGGACTTTAAAGCATTCAGGTGGAAGCAGGATAGGAGGACGTACCTGCTCACGATGTCAAATTCCTTGTGGAACAGACAGGAGAGCTGTGCCAGAACACAGCAGAAGCTCCAAGGAAGGAGGCGGAGTTGATCTGTGGGATTTAACTTGTGGTGTGGCTGGGAAGGGACACTTTCTTCATCTTGCAAGCTGCAAGGTGAAGAAAATTAGCTGGGGGTTCAACTTGGAACCGTGAGGGGGGTCTTGGACTGAGCTTTTGGCTGATTGTCTCCATCTTTCTCTGAGTGGTGGGCTGAATCCTAGGAGACATGAGTAAGAGTGAGAAATGGAGACTACCTGGGGTATCTAAGAAGAGAACGTAACAAAGGGCAGTGGAATAAACATGGAGGGGAAAAAGGACATTTTCATGCAGTATCTAGTGATATTGTGGAGCTGATCATCACCTCAGGGTGGTGTGGGCACTGAAACATAAGGGCATGTCGTGGTTTAACCTCAGCTGGCAACTGAGCACCACACAGCCACTCGCTGACTCCCCCCCCTGCAGTGGGATGGGGGAGAGAATCGGAAGAGTGAAAGTGAGAAAACTCGTGGCTTGAGATAAAAACAGTTTAATAATTGAAACAATAATAATAATAATAGAATATACAAAGCAAGTGATGCACGATGCAGTTGCTCACCACCCACTGACTGATGCCCAGCCAGTCCCCAAGCAGCCGCCTCCCGGCCAGCTTTCCCCCAGTTTCTATACTGGGCATGACGGCACATGGTATGGAATGTCCCTTTGGCCAGTTGGGGTCAGCTGTCCTGGCTGTGCCCCCTCCCAGCTTCTTGTGCACCTTCTCAGTCGGTAGAGCACGGGGAGCTGAAAAGTCCTTGACTAGTGTAAGCACTGCTCAGCAACAACTAAAACATCGGTGAGTTATCATCAACATTATTCTCACCCTAAATCCAAAACACAGCACTGTACCAGCTACTAGGAAGAAAATTAACTCTATCCCAGCTGAAACCAGGACAGGGGAGTACAGAAGAGGTCAGGCAGTCTTAGCGGATAATCCTGTCAGTGCTTCAAGTGTAGTGGTCCCAAAGCAGGCTAGCTCAAAAGGTTTCTAAGTGGACCATGAAAGGAAACAGAAGGATTTTTTAGCTGAACGTAGCTCTGTATGTGGCTGGTTGCTTGTGTGCCCTCGTAACATGAACCAGTTGCTATTAGCAGAACAGGTCAGACACTGGTGTGAGATGGATCTGATTGAATGTGGCAGTTCACACGAGTGTGATTCAGTCTTGAAATCCCGGAAGGTGTGATAAGAAGAGTATTTCAACCCTCTTGTCCAAAAAGGTCTTAAACCTGGAAACTGCTGTTGTGCACTGAAATGTTTGAGCAATGCAATGTTAACTGCCTTGCCTTGGATTCTCCTTGGGAATGAGCACCGTGTTTGCGCCATCTAGGCTTGCACCTTGTACCATACAGGCAGGCATCGTAGCCTCACCAGACACAGAAATATATAATGTTAGCTACGTAGAGAATAGCTATGTCTCTGCTGGACCTTGGGAACCCTGCTGAAGGTGGTTACTCTGCTGGGTTTACGTGCCCTGGTGCTGGCAGTGGGGGCTGCAGGGCAGCCTCTGTGAGGAGCGGCTGGGGCTGCCCCGTGCTGGACTCAGCCGGCTCCAAGGGACCCGCTGCAGGGCATGGCTCAGCCCCTCGGCCCTGCTGATGGCGCCTTGGGGAAAGCATATTTCAGAAAGGGTGAAATGCTGCCCAGCAGTGAGGAGCGAGGGGAGGAAAGTGTGAGAAACAGCCCTGCGAGCACCAGAGTGAGAGCAGATGGAGGGGAGGGAGGTGCTCCAGGTGCCCGAGCAGAGATTGCCCTGCAGCTCCTGGAGAAACCCCAGTGGAGTGGGTATTTCCCTGCAGCCTGTGGAGAGACCATGCTGCAGCCAGGGGTAAAGTGTGAGGAGGAATTTTGCATCTCTTTGCAGAAGATGCAAAAAGATGGGCAACCAGGAACAAAAAGTTGTGTTAATGTTGGTAGTTTTTGGTCACTGTTACGTTTCTCTGGAATAGGGCAATTAGAGCTGTGTGGCTAGATGTTTGAACCTGTCCCAAGAGCAATCTGAAGTTGACCACTGTGCTGTATAGAGCCTCGTGTGGGTGAGAGCAAAGAACTCATCTGCCTCCTTTTCTCCGCGTGATGTTGTACAACACAAAATTGGGAATGAACCCAAGAGACACAGGCGCAATGCAATGAAATCAGGTGTGACAGACAGCATTCAAGGACTGCCTTTTCTTCATCTGCACATCTCTTCTGTTTTTCAGGGTAAGAGATTCCTTTAAGACTCTATTAATTGCATTACTGTGTGTGGTCCCTTAGTGAGAACTAGGGAGGTAAGAGCTCTGACATCCAGGTAGGGCTGCTGAGGCATGAGGAGGAAGGGGGGAACAGAGGAAGAAGACAGAGCTTTTGATGCAAGGTCAGTCACCTAAAACATATTGTAGGTTATCAGGCAAAAAAAAGGCCTGCAGATAGGAATACCCTTATGACGGCAAGCATTCCCTTTTGCCATTTGTAGTATGTAAGCCACTTAACTTGGAGCTTTTCGTTTCCTTCAGTTGTAGTGGCTTGGAAGGGCAGGTCAGTATCACTCCCTGTTCTAGAGATGGAATAACTGAGGCATATGCTAATGTTACTCTTTCAGACCTAGGCAGAGAATCAAGATCTCTGAATCCTGCCTTTTTTTAAGGTAGACTGATGGTCCAGCCAGCGATGTGGTATACTTCCTTTCAGCAAAAGCAGTCTACTGCTTTGCAAAGGCCGCTCTTAGTACTTTCGGTGAATGCTGCAGTATTTCGGTTCAGTGGTCTTGAGGTACCATTGTGGTATTTAAATATTTGCGTGGTCTGCCTTGCTTCCAGCATAGGTGTGGTATTTATTTAATGAAAGGGGAGAAGCAATGTGGCATGTGTGAAAGCCTGCAGGTATTAAGAGAAACAAAGTATTGTACTGCAGTAGTCAACCTGGGGTATCACGCTATATTAATTTCAAATACCTCAGGCTCTTTGTGAGCTTCTGTGGGGACTTAAATGGAGATTGTAATGGTAACTTATATAAGTTTATTCCAGCATAGCAAAATAAAAAAAAAAACCCAACAGTGAAGATACAATATTTCATTAAATTCTTTATCTTTGAGTGAAAATTTAACTTCCAAAGGAAGATTAACATAGCATTGTGAGTAACCATGGGATGATTTCAACACTGAAGATAAAATATTTCATTAAATTCTTTATATCTGAGTGAAAATTTAACTTCCAAAGGAAGATTAACATAGCATTGTGAGTAACCATGGGATGATTTCATCACTACTAATTTGAACACGAAATGCATGAGCATATAGAATTCAGTCAGCTTTGTGAATTAAAAGCCTCTGATGTCTGTATTAGAAATATCCTGCAGATATAATTTACGTATCAAA